GCTGTCTCTTTAAATATCCAAAATAGTCAAGCCGCTTTTTAAACCTACAAAATGGCGGCGCCCTCCGGATTGGCAAAAGTCCGCAGCTCAGCCCACCTTTCTCTTCACCTTCTCTGTTTGTTCCCCAGCCACCATGCACAGTCCTCCCTGCAGTCCCTGACTAGCAGGGTGATTTTTAGGTTAATTTTTAGGTCCTGCCAACACTCGGAAGTCTCCAAGCCGTCTGTCGCTGCCAGACCACAGCTCCGTGTGTCTCCTTTTTTGATATTTTCACGCAAATTCTTCTGCTAGTTGGGGTTTAGTCCACTTTTGCATCTTTCTCTTCAAGGCTCAGGGGTCCAACATTATCTTCTGTGTCTGTGTTAATTAGTTTCCCTTTTCTTGGTTGAAGAGGGTCTGTGCAGTCCTTCTGCCTAGTCCGCCATCTTGCTGGAACTCCGCACCATGTCCTTTTATGTTAAAAAAACCAAACCAAACCAAACCAAAACAAAAAAACCAAAACCCACTGCCATCAAATTGATTCCAATTCATAGCAACCCCCATTGAGTTTCTGAGGCAGTAAATCTGTGAAAGTAGATTACTTTTTCTTCCATGGAGTGGCTGATGGTTTTGAATTGCCAACCTTCTGGTTAGCAGTCAAATGCCTTAGGGAGTGTGCCACCAGAGCTCCTTTCTTTTATGTTAGAGTTAAGGAATTTTTTAATATTCTAAAATTAATAAATAAGGTCAGTGCTCAATTTCTGGGGTCAGTGCTCCAATAGTGCCCTTTGTTCTTGGACACAATCCATGGTTCTGGCTTGCCAAATGAAAGATCCAGTGACCTGCTTTTGGTAGTTAGTACCAGCCACTCCTCAGAAGTAAGGTTGGGCAATCCTACTTCTGTAGTGATACTGCCTCGGAAACCCAAGGAGGGGTCGCTATGACTCGGGCCCGACTCAGTGGCACATAACAAGAAGAATATGGATCTTAGCATATACTTACCAACATACTTGGGATGCCCATTTGCTTAATGTAGGCCTTCTGCATTTTATTATAGAGTTTCACTATTTCTGTTAAACTCATTTTTCAACATTTTGAATTGTGTATTAACATTATTGAAATCTAAAATTAATAAGTCAGTGTTGTTGTTGTTTTTATGTGCCGTCGAGTCGGACCCGACTCATAGCGACCTCTCTTTGGGTTTCTGAGGCAGTATCACTATGAAAGTAGATTGCCCCCTCTTCCTTCTGAGGAGTAGCTGGTGGGTTTGATCCACCAGCCTTCTGGTTCGTAGTCAAGTGTCTTCGGCACTATGCTACCAGAGCTCCTAATAAGTCAGTAGTTTATTGTAATTCAACCAGTAGGAATCACTGGGCCCATGTGCTTGGGACTGTGGTCGCAGGGGACATCAAGCTCAATTGGCATAACATCCTGCACAAAAATATTGTTCTACACCCTACTTTGATGATTAGTGACTAGGGTCTTAGAATCTTACAAGCAGCCATCTAAGATGCAACAATTGATCTCTCATCATCTGGGGCAAAGAAGAATGAAGAAAATCAAAGACAAATGGAGATAATTAGTCCAAGGGACTGGTGGACCATGCGAACCTCCACATACATGACCCTGAGACCAAAACTAGATGGTGTCTGGCTACCACTCTCAACCACTTGGAAAGGGATCAAAATAAGAGCTCCTGCATAGAATGGGAGAACAATGTGGAACAAAACTCAAAATCGTAAAAAAGACCAGGTTTACTGGTCTGATAGAGACTGATGAAACCCCTAAGATAGGTCCCCTAGTTACCCTTCAGGCCTGGAACTGAACTCACAACTGTGGCTTCCAGCCAAACCATAGATAGGTGTAGAAAATCAACATTTACACCAGGTAGGTATGCTCCTTAGAACAATCAACCATGGGAGATCAGAAGGACAATATTTGCACAAGGAGATAGCTCAGAGGGCAAGTATGCATAGGAAAGAAGGACCCAGGAAAAAGTCCTCACAGGGAGGAAGAGAGCTTTTATGTTAGGAGGATTGCAATCCATGTCATGAAACAAAATGCAGATGAACTGTTGGATGGAAAATGAATTAGCTCTGTAAGCTGTCACCCAAATCACAATTGGAAAAAAAAAAAAAAGTTCTGTCTTTGACTTCCTTATTATGTTAAAATGGACCATTTTCTTATGATATTTGTTACCCATTTTTCTCCCTAATGTTTTCTTTGTTCTCTCTGGAGCCCTTGTTAGGAGGATATTTCTGAAATTGATTTTTATTTATTTATTTTTTAAATAACTTACTTTATTTTTGTTGTTGTTGTTGCAACTGCACACAGCAGAACAAACACCAACTCAACAATTTCTACATGTACAATCTGGAAACACTGATTACATTCTTCAAGTTTTGTACCCATTCTCACCCTCCTTTTCTGAATTTTTCCTCCTCTGTTAACATAAACTCCCTGCCCCCTAAGGTTCCTATCTCATCTTTGAGTTGCTGTGGTCAGTTTGATCCCATATAATTAGTTTTTAAAGAGCATACGGTGCTCAGGACAGATATTCTGTACTAATTAAGCTAACCTATTGAATATACCGGGAGCTCTGGTAGCATAGTGCCAAAGACACTTGACTGCTCACCAGAAGGCTGGCGGTTCAAACCCACCAGCCACTCCTCGGAAGGAAGGTTGGGCAATCCTACTTCCGTAGTGATACTGCCTCGGAACCCCAAGGAGGGGTCGCTATGAGTCGGGGCCGACTCGACGGCAAATAACAACAACAACAACATTGAATATACCATGGATTGCCAGAAGAACAAGCAGATGTCTTGGAAGAAGTAAAGCCAGAATGCTCCTAAGAAGGGAGGATGGCTAGACTTCATCTCACACACTTTGGACATGTTATCAGGAGGGACCTGTCCCTGGAGGAGGACATTATACTTGGTAAAGTAGAATAAGTGAAAAAGAGGAAGACTTTCAATGAGATGGATCGACACTGGCTACAACGGTGGGCTCAAGGATAGCAAGGATTGTGAGAATGATGCAGCACTGGGCATTGTTTCGTTCCGTTGTACACAGGATCTTTATGAGTTGAAACTGACTTGATGACACCTAACAGCATCAACATACATATTTTAAAGGCATAATCTCTTGTTTTGTTCTCTGTCATTTCCTCAAATGTCTGGTGTTCCTTAACTGAGGTGTTGAAAAGCAGACCAGAGGGCTGTATACAGGGCAGGGGTGACAAAACAGCGTTTGTACTGTAGGGGAAGCCTCTGGAGATCTGGCCTGGCATTGCAGTCTTTCCTCTGGGGGTGATTGGCTTCTCTGGAAAAGGATTTAACCCTCTCCTACCTGAGAGGCTGGACTCTGAAAGGCTGGGGGGACACCTGCTGATGTTTTCTAGGGGTGGGGGGAGCACTTGGTAAAGCACTATTTCCTTATACATCCTCTGGCTGTCTTACCCTCATTCTGTGTTGTCATCTACCCTGGTGTGCTAATCATTACTCAGTTACATCTGCAATGCAGATCCTACTTCTGACCCCAGGCCCATTGCATTGGCTGTCCCCTGGGCTATACAGTTAGATACTCCCTATGCACCTCTAGCGCAGGCCCCAAATTGAACTGTTCCTCTTCCTCCTGTATTGATGTGGTCAATAAATGCACCACCAACCACCCAGTTGCCTAGACCAGAAGTCTGGGAGCCATCTGGCCCAGGGTGACAAGCTGATGTCACATCCCAAGTGGTATGGTCACCTGAAGTGCAGGTCAAGCTCAACTAGGAAAGCTTGTGGCCAGGTATTGGTGTTTGCCTTGGGGAGAAAGGGGATGTGGTGTGGCTCCTCCCCCTTGTTTATCCTCTGGCCACCAGGACCAGCTGTGCACAGCAGAACCCCCATCTATTGCTCCCACTGCCTCTGGCAGAACTAAAGAGCCTCACTTAGTGCCTGGACTCCACCCCATCCCCCAATCCCTACTCCCTACCTGAGTGATTTTCCTGAGACCTGGGCCAGACCTATCACAGTAGGACACAGACCGTGTTCCCTGGTGTAGCCTGTCCTAGCTTTCTACATCCTGTTAGCACTAGGTGCGACTTTCTATCTCACCTCCCTGCCAGCATTGCTGTCTGGCTAGGGTGCATGGCCTATCCTCCATCTGTCTAGCTGCTGGTTGTCTCAGCTCTAGGCTATCTCCTTGTCATTGCTATCAGAGCTCTCAGGTGTGTCTGTCATGGTCTGGCATCTGGGTCCCTGAGCCAATCTCAGTGCACACTGGTGCTGGCTCACAAGGTCAGGTCCAGCCCAGCTGTGACCCCATCTGATTCTACCCATGGAAATTGTGTGTGAGCAGCGATGGGAGAAATCTGTCGTCTGGAGGGACAGCCCTTGTGCGATTTGTGGTGACAGACCCCCTCAGGTTGTCCTGGCCTGCACACTGTGGGAGGCCTGGTGTTGAGAGGGGAATGACAGGTGTCCTCCATGTCTCATCTGCTGTTTCTCCTCCAGACTCCCAGAGGAGCATGTGGATATGGCAGCAGGCTTCTTCCTTGAATGTGACGTCTCTGTGGTGGGTGCATTGCAGAAGCACCTGACATTCTACCGGATCCGGCGGAAGGTAGAGGTGGAGCCTTGCCCAGAGCTGGGAGTGTGGGCCATGCTGCCAGGCACCCCCGAGGCCCGTGGGGCCCAGCCCCTGCATGAGAAGGTAGAGGAGGCTACAGTTCTCGCTGCCGACCCAAGGACAGCCTGCATGGGCTGGCGGCTGCTCACTCCAAGGGAGAGCTCGGCCCTGCACCTGGTGCCCAGCAGCCAGCCTGGAGACCTCAGGGACTATCACAGATACCGATACCAGCAAGGTAAAATATTCACCTGTGCAGTGGGAAGGTCACCAGTATGGGGGCAGGTTAGAAAGGTGGTCTGACTTCAGTGCAGAGAGCAGGTCTCCAAAGGGGTGTGCACAGGGATGTGGCTTGTGTGGGGACAGCATCAGAGGTGGGTTCATCTGGTGTTCCCCTTGCCAGGCATGAGCAGTGGCTCTTCAGGGGGTGGTGGGTGATGGATCCTTCGGAAGAGCCCCACCTGTCCAGGTGGAGAAGCCTCAGGAACTGAGTGGGGAGGGCAAGTGGATTGGAGTCATGTAGGTGTCATGTTCCCTGCTGCTCAGCATGAAGGGCTGGTTCACCTGGGACTGGGGACTTACTGGGAGGGGCTGGCAGAGAAAGCCACCGTTTTTCTGGGCCTGGCTGTCCTGGCAGCATAGCTGAGGCCTTCTGAGTCATTGCTGTCTCAGTTCTGATGGATTTCTTACTCCCATCTCAACAGGCATTCCAGAGGGGGTCCGGGACCTCCCCCCAGGAGTGGCTCTGCCTTTGGAGTCCAATCTGGTCTTCATGAATGGAGTCAGCTTTACCAAGGGGTGCTACATCGGCCAGGAGCTGACTGCCCGCACCCACCACATGGGTGTCATTCGCAAACGCCTCTTCCCTGTGCAGCTATATGGCCTGCTCCCTGCGGCTGGCATTGCACCAGGCACCTCCGTCCTCACTGAGTCAGGAAAGGCGGCTGGGAAGTTCAGAGCTGGTGAGGGTGACTTGGGATTGGCCCTGCTGCAGACTGAGACAATCAAGGGTCCCCTCCACATCAAAACCTCTGAGAATGGTCATGTGGCCTTAACTGCTTCTGTGCCAGACTGGTGGCCCAAAGCCACCAAATAACTGTGGAACCATGTATGCCTCCTCTCATGTTGGCCAGGTTGAACTGACCATGGTTCCATGGAGGTTGCAGACCTGCAAAGCTTGTCCACATACTTGCTGTGCCCTCTGCAGCTCAGCGGGCATTTCTAGGGCCTTGCTGCCACCACACTCTTGGCCTTGCTGGGGAGCCTGATGAGGGGCAGCCAGCTGGCCAGCACTTTCCAGAGTGGGCCCCTTGGAGGATTCCCCTTGGGAATTTCCTGTTTGTGCCTGCTTGTTGGGGCTGTAGACTTTGGATGCTTCCTTGGAGGCCCTGGGACTCAGTGCCTGGCTGAGGAGTGTGGACCTTCCTCTCCTGTGGCTCAGCAGAAGAGGTAGGATCCCTGCTGTGGGAGAAATGAGACTGCCGTTGTGCTGATCTGAGCCCCATGCAGGTCCAGGACGAGGTTGTAGATAGGCCCAGGGGCCATCCATCCTTCAGACCTCAGGACAAGGCTAGGCCTTTGTGCATGGAGTTGACATGGTAAGAAAGTGGGCTTTGGATCCCCAGCACCCACTTCTCACTGACTCAGAAACCAGCCTTAGATTGAGGTAGGCTCTGGAGTGCCAAAGCTGGGGGCCATGTCTCTAGTTGATGGATTTCTGAGGAGAGAGATTTTGGTAATTTCTTTACCATGATTTGCTTTGGAACACATCTCAGGGTATTTACATGTGAGGAAGGTTGGGTCCATTGGATCTGACACTTCTCTGTTGTTGAGAAAGTTGAATGTGCATTTGGAGACATACACATCCTGATACATCTGCACATCTACATGTGCACACATACACCTCCACACCAGTACATGTGAATACCAGTTTACATGCACACTTATACATACACAACTGTACATACAAACCTAACACAAATACTTGTACACATACACATGGTTACATACACTAGTAGATACATGTACACTTATATACACACCCCTGTATGTGTACATCAGTACCTATGTATATACTAGTACAGATGCACACTTGTACACACATATTGATAGACACACCTACACATGCATACATCTATGTACACACATATCTATACATGCACATTTAAGCACACACTGGTAGACACACACCTACACATGTATACCTTTACATGCACACATGTGCACACACAAATACATCCTTTCCCACTGGCCAGTTTGGCCTCTCTTGAGGTGTAATTTTAAAGGCACTTGAATTAGCTTCTGCTGTTAGGAATACTGACAGGTGAGGTCCCAGACATCCTTCATGTGGAGAAAGAAAAATTGATGCACTGGTCACCCATGTCTCAACAATTCCTGCTCTCTGGAAGCACCTGGAGGTTAGAACCCCCACACTTGGTATGGCCTCTGTAGCCCCTCATCTGAGCTCTGTGGGAAGCACAGGGTGAGCAGTGCTTGCTCCCTCCAATGCAGGGGCCACCAGGGTCTGAGACAAGGCAGCCGTGGCCCTGGCAGTGAGGAGGTCTGCTTAATACTTCTGATTTATTTATTTATAGCATTGTCTTTACAGTGAGAGAAATAAAAATGTGCTGCCAATTGATGGGGATTATTTTATTTTTCCCTTTAAGCCACTAACTTGCACTGCCTTGTTTTAATGTGAACTTCCTGGTTGTGGTGTGTCTCAACTGCTGCATCTTGAATGCCTATTAAAGAGTGATCTGGAAGCAGCTGACTTGGAACTCTGCCTTTATTTTGAATAGGAGACGTCTGGGCTTTGTTTTGGGGAGCATGGTGGACTAGATACACTATAGACAACTGAACACACCAGATGCAGTATTTCAGTAAAGAATTTCCAGTGCATCACTGGACTGACCAGAAAGGAATCAATCCTTAGAGGTCACGCAAGACTGGGAACAATCAGCTTTGCCTACTTTCTTCCTTCTTCATATGTGCACATGAGTTTTATTTTATTGAAAATTGACAGTGTAGAGGTAGAATTTAACAGAAGTGCTTCATGCTCTCAATCATTTCAGCAACATCTCAATCTGTATATGAAATGATTTACAAGCCACTGTAATTGTGCCATTTTTAACCCCTCCTGGCTGGCTTTTTTTTTTAGCTGATACTGAGATATTTGATCAGGCTTGAGGCCAGTTTCTTCTCTGACTACCACTCTAACAGGCAGTGGTCTTCATGGTATGGGTGGGAGGCTGGTAGCTGTTGTCTCAATACAGACCAGTAACTAAATTTGCCTCCAAATATGGAGGAGGCCCAGAGACCAAAGAACAAGGTTGGCAGCTTGAGGATTACACTATAGGAGTTTATCAGGGGCTTAGTGATGAGGCTGGTTCTCGGCAGTGGTAAGACTGGCTCATTTCTCTGTCCCCCCAGTGGGAGGCAGGGTTTTTTATGGCCTTTGTGAACAAAGAACTCTGAACGTCCAAGGCCACCCCAGTGATTTAGCAAGTAGAAGTAAGCTAGCAGAAAGCAAGAGTATAGCCATATTCAGCTTTGCAAAGGCTATTTTCCCTGGATGAGTGTACCTTGCGTGCTGTCCTGGGAGGTCGCTTGAGAGACTTTAAGTAAAGTCACCCATTTTGCTGTGTGCCGGAAAAGGGGACCCACTTCCATCTCTCTTGCTATAGCTATCGTCCCAGTTCAGGTAAAGCATGATTGCTGAGAGGACTTCTGTGCAGCAGGGTGGTGGGTTCCCACATTAAGTCAGTCAGTTTCTTTGCCTCCAGTAACACATGAAAAGTGCCAATAGATGGTTCCACTTTCTAGCACGAGGTCCTGAGGTGTTTGGAGGACCATGCTACTTTGTTCTGGCAATGACCTGGGCAGATACCCTTCTAGACCCTGTGATGTCATTTGTATCATGGTTGGAGGGTTACCTGGAGCTCCTAGTCTGGCATATGGGGCTAAAGTCCCAGTGGGAGCTGAGTTTATCAACCTCAAAGCCTCAGGTAGCATTTAGGCCCACCCCACCAGGGAAACCTAGCCTATAAGGGTGTGTACTTGCCGTTTTAGGACACTATTCTTTCTTTCCACCAGGCTGGCAGCCTAGGGGTTGTAGAGCAAGTGGTAGTGCCACTGTACCTCATTCTAGGCCACCTGTTTGTTTACATTATTGATTGTAAAATGTATACCTTGCTCAGGGTATGTCATATATAACACTCGATTTTTCTAATTCCTTTATTGTAGGGATTACAGCCTGGTCCACTAATCTACATGGGAATACCCTGGTTAATCTGCTAACCATGTCCACACACACAAGAATGAATGTATTTTGCTCCTTCACTGTGGGGCCAGGGGTCCTAGATAATTTACCTGTCAGTCTATTACTGACTGTATTCTTTCATTATGTGTCCAGGATTTTGAGGCTGATGCCTTGGGTGTTGGCATGAGAACATAGGACAATTTTGTACTGCAGCCACCAAATCACTATACTTCACTGCTATGCCTGGCCCTTTGGCTGTTTTCCAGCCAACAAGGGCACTATGGTGTCTGCTTTTCTGGTGAATCCAGGGTTCAGCTTCCCTTCTGGATGTACCATTCTTACTTGTATGATAGTGTCTGCTTCTTGATTCCCCACTAGGAGAAAGGTGAATGGGCTGCTCATGAAAAACAGGTTAGTGTCAGAGGTTTGGAGGCAATCCCAGATGTCCTGCCACAGGGTTTTCCTCCAAAAGACTTTGCCCATTACTGTCCACTGCTTCTTATGCCATTGATAATCCTCACAGTTCACCCACAGGCTACTGCCCAACTGTCTGTAGGAAAGATTAAGGGCCATGGCTTGTGGGTGATGATCATCACATTGAATGCTTTGCCCTGAGCCAGTTTTGAACCAGATGGTATTAGTGGAGGCTTGTATGGCTACTGCCATCCACAGTGGTGGCATGCTTTAGCTAGAGCCATCCATATACCAGGTGTCTGCTGGCAACAGGCCTTTCCCTCTCTTCATTGAGATGGGGGTGGTGGCTCTGGAGGCATGCTAGCCTGTGGTAGGGGTCATCTTGATATGTCACTGGACCAAGTAGAGCTTGTAACTCTTGGGACAATGGACTGGTGGAAAGGGCACTATGCTATTGCATATATGAATGCCATTTGGTCAGCATAGCTGCCTAGGCAGTAGCTGATGATTGCCCAGGAAACAGCCCATTGATCCATCCATTCTTGGGCAAAGCTATGCAGAGGGTTATAGCTTCCTCTCCTGTTAATTCTTCAACTTGATGGAGAGTGTTATAAGCTACCAACAATTGTTTGTCTATGATACTATGCCAATTCTCTGCCCCCTCCACAGTTTGGACCAAAACCTTAGGAGGACTTTTTTGCCCTGATTTTGCCACATAGCCCAGCCAAAGCTATCCTTGTTGTTGTCTATGTCTAATCTGAAGGGAAACACTTCCTGTACTGAATCAACTTCTTTCACTTGAGCAACAACACCTTTGCTGTCTCGAAAGCTTGCTGCTATTCTTTGCTATACTCCCAAGAGGCACCTTTTTTTAAAAAAAAAAAAAACTAGTTGCTAGAGTGGTATCAAGCATTTGGCTAAGTGGGATATAAATACCCTCCAATACCCCAAAAGACCATAAAGGCCTGCACTTCCTTTGGTGTCTTAGGGGTGGGGTAAGTTTGTATCTTATTGACTATGGCTTCAGGCAACAGATGAGTCTTACCTAACCAGATGGCCCTTTGGAATTTTGCCAGTGTTCCCAGCCCCTGTACCTTTTAGGGGTTCATGGCCCATCCTCTCCCTTGTAGGTGGGTAATTAGGGTGTCTAGACAATTCTGTAACAGAGAAACATCTTCAGCAGTTAACATGATGTCATGTAATGAAATCAACAGACAGTAGTTGGGAAATAGAATCAGGTCCTTAGCAACCATACCACAGCAAATGGTGAGGCTGTGTAGCTATCCTTGAGGCAGCACAAAGAATGCCTGTTGTTGCCCTTCCCAGGTGAAGGCAAACTGATCTGGAGCAGGGAAGGCTAGAGGGATGCTAAAGAATGCATTTGCCAGGTCTAACAGCATGATGTGTTCCCAGGTCTCTATTCA